TACTTGTTTTTGATCACCATCAACGTGTCTCGTTGGCAAAGCTAAATGGGGATGTGCTGAATGTCAAAGTGCCTTATGAGCAAATTAAACCTCATACTGCTAGTGACTTGCACAAGCCAAAATCACCTCCAGCTGTTCCGCTAGAACCAAGCTTTGAAGAAATCAAGGCAGAAGAAGTGGAAGGAGAGCCATGCCAATCCACTGGCCAAACTGACACTGTCACAAGTGAGCAAGTTCCCAAGGCTCAACTTCAGGCCAGCAAAAACGAAACTAATGATGTTGTCTGCTGTGGTGAAAAAAAAGCGGAAGAAAAGACCAATTGGACCATTGCCAGTCACACCAGCTCTCAAATACAAAGACTTTCCCAAACTTTTACCTGTGATTGAAAGTGGAGAATGGTTGAAAGATGAACACAATGACAATGCACAGGCTTTTCTCGCAAAGAATTTCCCTCACATTGGAAGCTTGCAGGCAACATGGGTGTTCATTTCAGAAGAGTGCCAATCGGTGGGTACTCCAAAAGAAGATTTTGTACAAATTGTAAATGTTTGTGGGAATCATTGGATCACCCTCAGTAACATTGGCTGCCCTAAAGATACTGTAACATTATACGACTCACTATACAACAACCTAGATTCTGGAAGTAAAGCAAAACTTCACAAGCAAATTGCAGACATGCTAATGCCAACATCTAAGCATCTTACAATCCAGTGGGCTGATATGCAGAAACAAACTGGTACTTGCGATTGTGGGCTATTTGCAATCGCAGCGGCAACAAGTCAGTGTTATGGCATTTTACCACAAGACTGTTACTGGGAGCAAGAGGGTATGAGGGATCATTTGTGTATGTGCTTCCAGCAAGGAGATCTGGCACTTTTCCCACAATTGGCAGTTGTTCGAAAACACGAGAGGCATCACAGAGTGGAAAATACTGAAGTGTTCTGCCACTGTCGACAACCATACAACCCTGGTGTTTTCATGGTTGCATGCGATCGTTCCCAGGATTGGTTCCATCGAGGATGTGAAAGGGTTCCGAAAAGGATAAACAAGAACACTTTATTCGTTTGTAAAAATTGTAAATAGATCACAGAAGAGTATCAATATTGTGTGGAAATGTAAATAAGTTGTAAATATTTCATTAATCATAATTAATTAAGAGAAATATCCCATTCTTTTGGTGTGACTATGAATAATTGCTTGCTGTAAATAAATTTGTTGTGGTTGTAAATAATTGCTTGCTGTAAATAAAATCGATTATAGCAGGTTCAGCATTATAAATGTATCTGTGTGTTCATATTCTTTCTTCTGTAATGTTGATATGCATTCAGGCTTGTTTAACCTTTAAGTGGAAATGTGCCCCACTTTTTATTTTACTCTGTCTAATGCTAGACAATTTTATTTATCAAAGGAAGTTGCTACCACTCAATTGGGTAAAGGAAAATTTTCATGTCAATTTGGTCTTGCTCTCCCAGTGCACACCACATAATTGAAAATAATTTACACCATTCAGAATGTGTCGCAATGCACAAGTGTTATGCTTCTCTTTCTCTCTCTCATTCCTGGCAATTTTCCAAAGAAATCGCAGAAAAATTCTAAGCATGATCCACGGTTTACTCTGCCAACACTTTCTTTGCATAACATCAGGCATCGATAAAATGTGTGAGTGCCGCTCACAGGCACCTTTTGACTTTTTGCAGGCACATTTTAAAATACTGACATTTTAACAATATTTAGGTCACAAAATCTAAATAAGATGTGTTTTGCAGGCACATTTTGAATTTCGCTTGCAGCCCAGTTGCAGGCACGAAAAAATGTTATTGAGGCCTGCATAACATACATCAAGATATTTGAAATTTGATGAGAATTGTTAGCAGAATAAACCATGGGCTATGCTTGGAATTTTCCTGCAACTACCTTAAAGTTTTAGATCACAGCTCTGTCAAAAATTGTATTTCAAGAGGTTGCTACAAAAATGGTCTTGTTTTAACATTGTCCTAATTATTCCAGGTTTCAATTATTTTCCCATAGGAGTATAGGCAATTTCATGATAATGGCAGATCATACCCATTATTTTTCTCTGTCTAATGTCAGATGACTGTACCTATTAGAGAAAAGTCTTGCACAATGAAACAGGCGTAAAGTTGCAGTTAAAATTGCCTGGTGTAACATATTGGCCTTTCTTAGTTTAAATTTTAGCTATTTCTTACATTTTTAAATTTCTATATAACAACAAATTATTGGTAAATGTCTGCATGCTTTCGTTATTTTTAATATACAACCTGTAAATGTAAACTGATGGGTATTTTCATGCAATCTACCTCTATTATATAAAAGTTTAGTAAATTATATGCGATACGTACATATTTAGTACTTGACTTTCAAATGATCATGTTTGGTAAACGAGAACGTTAAAAAAACAATCCTTTTATAATCCTCCCATCTGTTAAGCTTCTGGCTAAAATATTAGTTACTGTACTTGCATTTTGCGTGGATTTTGGTAGTAAAAACTGTAAAATACTAAAATGCATTCGCAGTACGCTGTATAATACATGGAGAGCGCAACTATAGATACAGAAATTGAAGCCGGAAGTCGCGCGCGGCCGCCATCTTACTGTGA